TATATTCCTTAAAGGCTTTATATCGTCACATCCGGAATATCAATGTTGATCAGAATTAGTGTCCAGGAAACTGTCCTACTAGAAATATTTTCAGATAAAGAAAAACAACTTTTTATTTCTGAAGTATAACAGTTCGTCTAGACCTTTTCAACAGTTTTATGGTCAAAATGCTTGATTCCGCCCCCGTGTTAATATTTCATTTAAAAATTCGAAGAAATGGTATTTTTAGATAAATGTGTTATAAAGAGATGATGTCTGCTACAAATTTATAAATGAGTTTTTGCGAGTATAGCAACAGTGAAAATCTTGAATTTCTCGTATTGGTTTTTGAATCAAAATTAGTTCTGAGAGTCGCTGGATTGATTTTACATAGGTCTTTGGCACATATTCAATATCGTTTTATATGGCATTGGTTTTTTTTAGCATTTTGGTTTGTTTTAGATATAGAATTTGATTCATCTAAAATATTGGAGATTGTGACGTAAAGTGGACCTACTCGGGATAAGTAGGTTGAAAAGAATAGATTAAAAACGTGCCGTGCATAATAGGTATACTTTAGAGGCGTTGCAGAATTGATTAATAGTCTTGTCAGTTTTTTATTCAGTGTTTAAAACATTTTGAGACACATTTGAAGTTAGTAGTATTTTAAAAAGCCCGTGCGATTGATCATAGGTCTGCATAAGATTACATAGCCTGTCAAATTGTCCCCGACGTTTTGTACACTGTCTGGACAATCCGTCACCCCCAAACCGCATCATTAAAATCTTAGGAATATTTCCCTACATGTACCGGTAGTTTACTCCTCTGGGTCTAAGGGCATTTCTTTATGGGGAATGTTATTAGTGTATGTGGGTTATCCTGATCGGCGTGTGTAAGCACTGCTTTCGTCAAAATAAAAAAAATACGCAACAAGTGATTTCCCTTGGTTGTCTATCCCATGAGGGTCTACGATACTCGGATGCTGACGACCCAGGTCACAGGAAGACCCCTTTCCATCATTTTACTTTCTTTGTAGAGAAACTTGAGATTATTCTTAAAATATATTTCCTCTTGGAAATTAGGTCATCTATTTGACCGGCTAAATAATTTGTTTTCTGAAGAGATATGTGTAATTACCAAAAGAATCAAATTATATAAATTCAACTTCTTGTGTGTGAGCTGCATGACGATGGATATGTTATTTTGTGTAATAAATATATATTTGCCGGTAGTTAGTTTTCCAATCGATGGTAAGTGTTTATGGTTTAAAGCAACTCTCATCCAACTAGAAAAATCAAACAAAAATATTAAAAAACACAAATGTTAGTTGCAGTAATTACTCGCCATCCATATATTTATGGTGCCTGCTATAATCTATTGTAATCGCCGTCTATGCTTTGCACATTTGGTGTTTCACACTATCTGCATGCCCTTGGTGTTTCGGTTAACTCACCCTAATTAGGGTTAAGAGTTGAAAGGAACGGCATGTTCAGATATAGATCAGTTAATTAAACTTCGAAGCAAACAGCATATATATATATATATATATATATATATATATATATATATATATATAGAAATTAGCTTATTAAAGATACATTATGGGAGATTTGATAAAGAGTTGGCAGTTCTCACTATAATAGTTAAAAACTAGATAATGGAAAGGAAATTTGCTGAAAATTTCAGTCGAATTGATCCACTCTGGACAGAGATTTTAGCGATCATCATTACTAAAGTCGGTACGATAAAAAAGTAGTCCCGATTATCCATTTCATGATTAAATCATGAATGAAAGTATAGCAGCAAATCGGGTCCTAATCCAATAAATATCGCAGGCTAGCGTTGACATCGAGAGTTGATTATGGTCTGGATAAGTTAATTACTGTCTAATTAATAATTTAGATAACATTTCAGGCCTAACAAAAGACCTGCAATGGGCAGATTTAGCTCTTGCATAATGTATGTTTAATATATAGTTAACAAACACATAAAAACTGAAGACAAAGCACAACAACATCAACACACAAATCTGGATCAGTGGCTGTTTTGTGTTGGTATCAAACAAACACCGCAATGAAGTTGTTGCTGACAACATAATAAGCATTATCTCTTACTTTCTAGATAGTTGACAGAACGTGGGTTGATCTATGGAGTTTTAATTAAGTACATAATGATAAAACATCATATTTACATTTAATCTAACCCAGTTTTCATAGACATACCGATTGTATAAGCACAAACAAAAGCGGGCTCAAAGATTGATTTCTCGGCTTAAACCCTTTCTTCATATAAGAATACAATAACGTAGAGTGACTTACTTTGCAGTGTATCTATAATTCATAACCTTATTGAAGTTAATGTGGTAATGTCGTATACGATGTTACAGTGAGGAGCTTTTGTCCCCCCCGTCTGTCTGTCGCCTTGACCGTTGCACATTTTGGAACACAATTACTTTGTTTCCAATTGAACCAGGCTAAACATAAGCAACATGATTGAATAATACTGTTGAACACAAAAACACGGGTTCTAATTAAGAGCGGGCGCGTGTGTGTGTTGGGGGGGGGGGGGGGCGGGGTAATATTTAATTGGACAATAAAAAATTTCTATACTATTTAGGAGTGTAAGAATATATCGTCCATGGAGCACAATCAGATATGTAAATACAGAACGACAAATAAGCGCAACGATGTGGATGAGAATCCATATACTTCGAGCTTTATGCTTTTCTGTTTACCAGACATGTAGAAAATTAACTCGTTAATAAAGCGAAGAATGAAATGTGTAAGTAAAGAAAAAAATAAATATCGAACCGACAATAAACAAACTTACTGCCTCTGCTTCTTGCACACGCAACCTGTTGACTGATATTTGCTACAAATAATACATAATTTACTTTCTTGATTTGAACTAAAGTTCCAAACAGTTATAATGCCCACACTTCTTTACGTCATTTTATTTATCAGATACTCTTACCATTAAAAGCATTTCCTATTTTTAGATGCATTAACCTATGTTTATTTTTAAAATCAAAATCATTACAGATCTAACGTATCACTGGATGTAAAGTTTAATACTCCAGCAACAAACTAAAAACTACCATAACATGAAAATAATCTCCTAGCAACGCCATTATTGAAGGGTAATTTTCTCAGTAAAACCAGACTGTCGCCGACCGGAAACCACTCAGTTGCTATCGGGAGTCTTTGATCTTGATTTTGTCAGGGCATGACCTTGGTACCACACATTTGACTATTGAGTTAATCATAGGTAGTAATTTCCAAAACACCAGTTTTAAAGCGATCCATCAATAAATTCGTGTTTCTAAACAGCAAACTCTCCTTTAAACGCGTGCAATTAAAATTTATTAGATAAAGAAACACATATCTTAGTAAACATCAGTGTTTTTGCTATATTCCAACATTTTGCTCATTTTCGAAGATTATGCAATCTTTCTTCCAATTGTAGAATTTTGATTGAAATGGTTGAGTATTTTGGTAAACATGTAAATGACACAATGACGTAACCAGGAAACCCATTTAAAGGAAAAATCGTAGTTAGTTCGTAAAATCTGACATCGCTGTATTACGTTGTGTTAGGCCGTTGGCAATTGGAATTTGAAGAAGAGTAGGTGCAAAGATATCACCCATCCCAATGCGCAATGTAACCAAGGACAAAAAGTCATTACTTAACACACTATTCCTTTACATTTTTCAATGAAATTTACAAAACCAATCTTAATTAATAAGGCCGTACACAAATGCCGAGTATTTTCTTCTACAATAATGTGAGAATTTATCTATTTTGCATATTGAATTTCACTTGCTACTTGGAGCATCATTAATGTATAGGACAATAGGTTTACGCTAACTGATTAACAACAAAACCATGTTTAGGAAATGTTTGCCAAATGTAATTATATATCTTTACTTCTGAGCCTTTAACCCTGTAGAAAATTTGTCAATTAAATTAAAGCACGATGTGTTAAAAGGCATGATTAATACCTTCAATTCCCAATCCTCCTTGTTTACGAAGCAAAAGGTTATGAGCAACAGCTAATGAAGAAATGCAAATTTAAAAGACTATCTTAGATATGTAAATAAGTGATCATGGGAAGCAAGGAAATCGATTAGTGACATTTAAGACGATATGCACATACGAATAATTATCTATGTTAGTGAAAGGTTTGATATTTAAAGGGTCATGGGTGCAGCATGTCTCCTTTACATCCATTAATTTCAAGGGGGCCACGGCTGTCCCCTTGGCCGTGGTATCCGGACATAATTCCCTTCACTTCATGGAGTACGTCCGTCTTCATTAGGACACACGGTTGGTGTAGATAAGTAAGACTAAGACGTTAGTTTTCTGCACCTACCATGCTAAGTAAAGCGGATGTATTCAGGAACGCGTCTGTATGAAAGAATATAACTTCCCTTCCGTTATATTTAGACATTACGAAGGAATCGCCAATTCTTTAATCTTCCTATCGCCGTTATGGTGATTATGCTAAACTGAAATACTGAATCATTTCGCAAGAACTCATTTTAAACAGTAATATCTCGACTATTTTGTCATTTAGGAGCTTGAATTTAGTCATGTTGGCGATACGAATGAATATGTAAGGTGTTACAACGTCTCGTCGCCATTTTGTCACATCCAACTTGAGGCTGCCCCCTTTCATATTAACTTATGAGGTCTAGTATATAATACTAGTCGATTGACCTACGCCTGATAGCACCCAAGACAGCAGACCAGTTGGAGCTTGCATAGACACGGATGTGGACCAACGCTGTCTTTGCACAGATTTAAAGTATTAGTCTGATTTAACCATACCTCCAGTTTACAGTAATTTAATTCTCGTCTGCAATGCAATGACCTGTCGATTGATCCGCACATCTTAATACATGACACCCTTTCGGTTTCATGCAAAATATAAGATGGACTTACATGTTTAAACGTTTAAAAATACTCATTTTGTAGCGTTTTTTGGTATAACTAATTAATTTATTTGTAAACGGAAAGATCTATTTCCCAATAACATGTACATTGGTCATGTAATGGGGCCATGTTCTAATAAGATGATAAAACGTTGTACCAGGACAAGCAGTAGCTCGAACGTCACGATGGCCTTTGATAATGTAATCTGATCTAATCATTCCATTTTTAACACCACAATCGATCAACTGTTTTAAGGCATTGATGGCTGCAGCATTCGGAACTCTGTTAGTGAAATCTCCGATTACACAAAATCCTAAAACAATACCAAATATCAATCAACTTGCACAGGACAATAAAATTCATTGGTTATAACTACTCATTTGAAATGGCTATTTTTACCATGGACCACTGGAAGTAATTCAGTAGAAAAATAAGGAAATAATGATCACCCTCAATCAATCTCAGTTGTAATTATTTTACAGCGCGGGGCTAGAGGATGGGGAAATTGACAGCATTCAGATTGCAGTATAGACGTGAAAATGTAAAGCTGGTGGGAGTTACTGTTAAATCTCTTCTGTTTATAAGAGTTGATAATTATTATGATGAAAGACCATGTCCTACTGCAATTCGTGGTTAGGGTTTTGCCCATCTAGTCTCTTTTGAAAGAAAGCAACGAAGACAGACGTTTGTTTTGGGGAGCTTTTGAAGTAAAGGGAAGTAACTACGGTTTACGTCCTCATATTCTAGGCATTGTACACGTCATTAATCTCAGTCCAATTCATAGGGCAGTAAATAAATAAATATTTTGTGTATATGTATCCTACCAAGAAAGCGTGATTTGCTATTCAAATTGAGCCACTGTATGAACGCCGGGGGAACTCTTTACACCAGGCCACTGAGCAGATCATACTAAGTGAAACGTACCTAATCCATCTGTATTATGATTCAATGTGTGAGCACCAATCCTTCCCCATCCATGACCCTCATACACATTGCCATCTTCACCAATCATAAACGTATAACCAAGATCAGACCAACCTATTTTAAAATCATTCTGATAAATTGACAGCTAAGAGATGTACAAAAGTATACACTTATTAATTGTATGATTTATAATTGACATAATATAATTTTATGTATCGTTTTTCAATAACTAATAAAGATAACTATGACCGAATAGTTGAACGATTTTCAACTGTATAAAGGCATAAACGACGCAAGCCTGAATCAAGAGGTTTGGGATGGCCAAGTGGTCTAGAGTGTTTACTCCGGGTAACTTGTCTGCGATATCACCCTTGGTGGAAGCGGAGGTTAAACACTAAAAACAACAAGAAGCCTCAATCATTGGGCCTGTACTATGTGAATTAAGTTCTACTCGTGTGGCCCACGGTAACATAAATTAACAAAGATGGAATACAGTATACCGATACGCAACGACACGGGCCTGCTGGTTTAACTGGAAGGGGTGTGTGCGTTGTATCATAAAGTCTGTCATTGAGTCAACTGGCGTGGTTTGGATTCCACGGTTGTACGTGACAATGAATAGGGTTTACTCTGGTTCCTCCGGTTACCTCTCACTGCTAAAGACCCCTACGCGCAAACGAATTATTGAGATAAAATTGAACCATATGTTAGTCCCGAAATGACCTAGTTTGTGTCGAGAGAACGTTAAACTCTCTCTCTCTCTCTCTCTCTCTCTCTCTCTCTCTCTCTCTCGTTTGACTGGAAGTGCTGTCGAGACATAAAGCAGCTGAAATGTGATTTTTGGCATGAGTGTAGGCTTGACATTTACCGAAATTCCAGGGAGGCCGTAACAATGCAGGGCTCAAGGTGTAAGTCAGTAGCGTGTGGGTGTGTGTACATGTGTGTGTCCACCACTACCACATGGTTGTGTTCTTACCATGACCGTCCATGTAGTAATTCTGAGCTCCGCGAACTAATCTGGCACAATCTGCTGTATGTGTGCACGGTGGAGAGGCACTATGGTGGACATACACAAACTGTGGTACAGCTGGCATTGGTTTGTCGGCATGTTTTGGTGCCCTCGCTCCCCATTGTGCCCGAGGAACAATGTGCGGACAGCCAGGTAGTTGTTGGGATGAATGTACCGAAGGCCTATTCGTGGTTGGGTTGTTCCCTGGAATGAAATAGGTTTTTAGAAAAAAAGTTACGTACATTAATATCATTATCAATGTCGTCGATTACAGATATTAGATGGAAAAAGCAGCCAACTTTGGTTTTGTGTTGTGTTTCATAAGAAATAATATAAGTTGATTCAAAATAAAGATCCAAAACAAAACCAAGAGTGTAAAATTAATGTATTTAGTAGGGTGTCGCTTTTCATTGCAAGAAGAACACACTACCCCCGAACGTTCAGATGCAAATCTGATTATAGTCAGATGTCCGTTATATATCTTTTTAAAGCGATTTTATTTTTGTAATTAGAATGCCATACATATACAAATACGAAACCAATTAAGCAACCCTCATACCATCCAATACTGAATAGTTTATAGTTTACAATTAGCAACCATTAAATAATAAACATTTGCCAATTGTTAAACACTACTAACTGGCAATTATTAAATCCCGAATTGGTGACACAGTAACGATAATAAAGACTCATGTTATATAAAGGATCATAAGAAGTGCTCCTTTTAAGTTTAAGTTTTATAAATGTGTGCGTATAACTGCCAATAGGGAACTTTGGTCATAAGGGTCTGTTTGGACCTTACCTGTTGTGCCGGTTGAACAAGAATCTTTAAATGTAAGCCATTTAGTAGCTGCCCAGCCGCTCTGTAATAATACAAATATTGCTAGTAATATTGATTTAATTATTTGCTAGACCTCGTCTGGAAATTGTTTATGCCGAAAATAGGTTGTGGGCGGTGTGATTGTTGGTATGTCTAGGTGCGCCAGCTAGATTGCTCCCGGCTTAGCTGTCTCGAGTTTATATATAATTCCCAATGACTTACTTGTTGTGAACTTCCCTTGGCTCAATCGGTAAAGGTGTATTAAGTCCCTGATTTGGTTTGCGGGATTAAACTTATTGATTAATTAGACTAATATTCCGTTTTCCCTTTAAAAAAAATGCTTACTGCATGGTCATAATCTACATGAGCCCATTCCAAACCACCACTAGTTGTTTTATCTCCACGATAAGGAAGACAGAAACCTGGTGATAAAGTTCCCAGAAGATGATGACCTGTTCCTGCTCCACTTCTGACATGAACACTCGTTGTAGCACACACACATCCGCTTGTTACTATAATACAAATATGAAACAAAATACTGTTATCTACGTAAACCCTTTCAAATACATTGCTTATTAAATATTCATTTGATACTTAGAAAGGGCATATTCCCTTTATGTTTAAGCACAATAATATAATTTTTGATTATTACTGTTGGGGATGCATATTTATTAAAATGAGAAGTAAGATTATAAACCTGTGCATGCTTTAAATTCAATCCATTTTGTAGCTGCCCAACCATCCTTTAAAAAACGAAAAAGAAGTTTTAAAGCACTTCTGAAAGAACACCGCGTGTTCATTGAAATCCTTTTATAATCAAGTGATGTTTTTGAACCATGGCTATACAATTGATTAATTTAGCTTAGAAAACAAGTTCTATAGGACCTCTGTATCCCATCAGATTCTGGCCCAGGAAGAAGACCTCGAACGCTACTCTTCTTGCTCTTCGTCTTGGGGACGACGCTCTTCGAAAAAAGCAAAAGGTTCCGCCAATTCATTTACTATCATCATGAAACTCGCTATGCCTGTTCATTAGACGATTGCGCATCGCTTACGTCACTATTCCAAGATGGCAGAAATGCGGTCATACTGGCTCGTACGTGTTTAAATAAAAGACATTTGCGATTGTGTTCTTGGCCAGTACTATTATCTCTGAACAAAATATTACAATATAATTATATATATTACCTGTCCGTTATATGTTACATGAGCCCATTCATAGCCATCTGCTGATAACTTGTTACCTCTGTATGTTAGACATTTAGTTTTCCTTAAACTACCCAGTATAGGATATTTCGTACCTGCTCCTGATCGTACATGTACATCAAGCGTTGCACATGCACAATTGGCAGCATAAGTAGGTTCAAAGTTTAAAAATATACTTCCGCAAAACAAAACAAATGTTAAAACCAACATTATGGCACTTGTTCTGTATAGTTGCTATCTTATCTATGGATATCTATCTAGAAAATCAGGTCTTATCAGTGGCAGGTGTGGTTTGAGACAGAACACATCCAAAGTCACATAATTACGTCAAGCTTGACAGAATCGTGAGCTGAACATGACAGCAAGCGAAAATTTCGAAGATATGCCGGTTCCTGCGAACTTGAAATTTCGCATTATTTGACGGGTTTCAAAATGGCGACCTTATTTATACACAACATAGACCTCGTTTTTTTCAGGTTTTTTACGGGCAACGGGCATTTTACGTCTCGCTTATCGCCAGTTGTTTGTTTAAAAGTCAATTCGCAAGGAAACAATTTGCTATAGTTTATCATGAGGTTAAGTGGTGTGGGGAAAGAATCGCTGATTTTGTACGACAAAAGTCAAATTTATCACGATTCGGAGATGAGGACTTTTATCCACTGAACTATCAATTTCCACGAAGTTACAATTTCCCTTTTAGTTTCCAGTTTGAATGCATCTTATAGTATTGGGAACTATGAACAAGTTTAACTTGATGTGTATATCAGGAACCAATCACATTTAAGTTTTAAACCAATTTATTTTTAATGTGCCTTATAATGTGGCCAGGTTTGAATAAGATCATAGAATTTTTGTCCAGGACAAGCAGTAGCTCGAACGTCACGATGGCCTTTGATGATGTAATCTGATGTAATCTTTCCATTTTTAACACCACAATCGATCAACTGTTTCACCGCATTTATAGCAGCAGCATTTGGTACTCGACTGGTAAAATCACCGATCACACAGAATCCTACAAAAACAAAAATGATTATGCTTACAGAAGCAATACTAATAGTAAGTACAAATGAACCACATCACTCATAAACAAACAGAAACTCAGAAGACAAACCGGCGGACAAGACGCATACTACACATACTAATTTGCAAGCAATAAAAGTATTAACAAATCAATTGAATGGATCTGGTGGCCCACCGTGAACTTCCCCGGCACGGTACTGTCCAAGGCATTCAGTAATACAGATTTCACTCAAAATGAAAATAAACGCACAACAGGGAGACGATCTACGAAATATTGTATTAAATTCTCAAACAACGTATTATTCTAACGCAACCTATGCCATGATCGGCATGATATTTTAACGGATTGTTTAGAATTAAAACCGATCAGTTCATAGAAAAGAGACAAAATACAATGTTCAAAATATACACTTGGATTTAATTACCGTTTCGGTTCTTTTATCCAAATTATAAAGGTATTTAAATAAAGTTTTTGGTATATTTTCATTTGACTCCAGTACAGAATGGATGGGAACCCCATTCACTTGTTATTTAATCGCAAAATGAACAGCTTCACGTTAATTTGAAAGGCTAATTTGTAAAATTATCCATACCATAAATACAAGTTACTTAAACATACCTAAACCATCTGAGTTATGGTGAAGTGTATGAGTTCCTATCTTTCCCCAACCATGTCCTTCATATACATTTCCATCTTCACCAATAACAAATGTATAACCAAGATCTGGCCAACCTATAAATAACATTATAATAACAGCATTAACACATTTACATTGAAAGACTAGGGGCGTCCTTTATATACTAGTACTTTACTACGATATTTAGTTTCAAGAAGTTATTTTACTGAATTATAATTGTTAAATGCAAGTGTAACAAATCGGTAAGATTCATACCCGAAGGGATACTTTTGAGCTTCTTGATTGCGCAATCAATAAACACCCGATCAACAGAATTCAACACGTTATTTTGACCTAAGTTAAAAAGGCTTAACGCCTTTACCTGCTTAAACAGTTCAAGTGTCTGGCAATTGTTTTACAAAATAACACGAGTTGGTGATATTGTTTTTAGTATACTTTACCATGTCCGTCCATGTGGTAATTTTGGTATTGTTTGACAATTGCGGTGCATCGTGTCTTTGTGGTACAAGCTGCTGAAGCACCATGGTGGATATAGACATTCTGTGGAACATGAGGCAGAGGCTGATCTGGATGCTTTGGAGCTCGTGCACCCCATTCAGCACGTGATACTATGTGAGGACATCCTGGTAGTTGCTGAACAGATGTTGAGCCAGTATGTGAACCTGTATATAAATGTAACTATTTAATTCTAAATATCTTGTAATGAAAGAATATTGGTAAATAAGAAACTTCTACTTGTTGAAAATAGCTAGTATAGATATATATGTGTATACCTGTGCCAGTAGTTGAGCAAGAGTCTTTAAAGGCTAACCAATTAGACGCAACCCATCCATCCTATAACATTTAACATTTTATGAAATAAACCATACAATAGGCTATATGAAAATCATGTATTCGATTAAACAAGATATATCTTCGATTTTTGAGCCCATACATGAAATGAAACGGGGTTTCGCGTCCTACTGTTCTGCACAGTCTGGGCCATTAAAGACAGGCGTATTCCATACAATGTGCTTTGAGGGGCATTCCCGCCTTAAAAACTAAGCCCCGTCCTTGCATGACACCCCATCATGCACCACTGGCAAGGGGGATACCGCGCCGGAAAATCCCGAGGAAATTTCTCGGCGAACAACGGGAGCGAATCCGAGACCTCTCAGTTAGCGAGCTAGCGCCGTACTCGCTGAGGCACCGTCCCCGTCCCCACCATAATAGACTCCGTTAAGAACGATAGTAAAAGCTTCATTGTTTAGTGTCACTGCGCAGCACCCCGTGTTTTATTTCGCGCACCATATAAATATATTATTACATTTCATTAAAATACAACATTTATAGCTTAATCTGTAACAAAAAGTCATACCGCGTGATCATAATCTACATGAGCCCAGCTCAAACCACCAACTGTCGAACGGTCTCCTTTAAAAGGGAGACAACTGCCAATAGCCATGGTTCCCAGAATGCCATGGCTTGTCCCAGCGCCACTTCTTACATGTACGTTACCTGTAGCGCATGCACATTTACTGGTCACTGTAGAAAAATGGCAAAAAGAAAGTAGTCATATATACGGTAACGGTATTACGAAATCTACTTTAATAATATGATAATTGTTTCTACCCTATAATGTAACGAAGTGCCATGGGGATGTTAGAATTCTATTGTTTTTAGTTCAACGGGCCAACTGGTTATCTCTTTAGTATTGTGTTGTTGGTTTTGGTCGCCGTTTGTAGTGGTTTATTTGCGTTTTTGGAGCTGTTCTATTGTGTTTAGTTCAATGGGCTGACTGGTTATCTCTTTAGTATTGTGTTTTGGGTTTTGGTCGCCGTTTGTAGTGGTTTATTTGCTTATTTGGGTTATATTATTGTATTTTTTACTTACATGTACAGGGTTGAAAAGTAAGCCAATTACTGGCAATCCAAGCATCCTTGAATATAAATAATATAATGCTTATCCTTCAATCAAATAAATATTGGCTGATCGCTATAACACAAAAACTGTCAGTATTATCGTCAGCCTGCAGTAACTTCTAGACACAAATCTGTCAGTATTGTCGTGTGCTCGCAGTAACCTTCAGACAGTGCCGGACTTACCCATAGGCTTGACTGGCTGGGGCACCGTAATCTTAAACATCCGTCATCAGTTTTGCTCAGCAGTGTTAAAAAAACCCACACTTTTATCTTTCCCTTAGTCCTGAGGATGGGGGTTGGGGGGGTAGGGGTAGCATAAGTATAATAGTCTAGGGCCTCTCTTGATCTAAATACGGCACTTCTACCTGACGCAAAACTGCCAGTAGTAACGTATGTTCGCTCAGGTGAGCTAACAAGTAGTTATGTATTTTGTTTTTCATTGGCTTGTGATTAGAATAAGCTCTATACGGTTACATTGCTAACATTGGTTTCTTTCGAAAGAGTAAGCGCAAGTCGGAATGTTTACAAATCTGTATACACATTCAGTTATATCCAAACATTGCTTTAACAGAAGGCATGTCGTCATCTCCAAAGTTTTAACTGCAATGACATGAATTGGGGTTAGGTCTCCTACTGTTCTACTCCGAACTGGGATAATGAAGACGGTCAAAGTTTTAACATATCAACACATAACATGCAATGAAATCTACAATTTTATTTTCGTATCAAATCAAAGAGCTCTAGACGACACATGTGATTGACCCGGAAGTAATATAACTACGTGTTCAGAAAATGACCTACCTGCCCATTATATGTAACGTGCGCCCATTGGAGACCCCCTGCTGCAACCTGATTCCCTTTGTAGGCCACACAATGTGATTTTGTAAGAGTTCCTAGAACGCTATGTGTGGTACCAGCACCGTCTCTAGCATGAACATCGCCTGTAGCACAAGCACAGTTTTCCCCCACTGATATACCAACACATAATGCCGATATTACAACCACCAAAATCATACTATTAAAACCATATAATAGAATATATTAATAGAGCTTAGTTTATATTTTAGAGTAATGTGTAGAGGATGTGAATTCATGGTGTATGGTAACAATAGATCGAGGATTGTTGTATTTTACTGTCATATTTGCATATAATGTCCAATATTTAATTTTGTCTCCAATAAACAGCCACTTGTGGAATGATTTGTTTAGAATAACTGACACCGAATTTTTCTGTGTGGTTTCCCCTTGACAGTGGTGTTGGACAGAGGGCCTGGCAAAGGACCAATGTTTTTTCGTTCGGTTGGGACGAAACACCTAGGTTCTGTATACACGTTGGCGTGCACGTAAAAGAACCCTTGACAGGAAATAAGAGTAGGCCGTAGTGCCGCTATCCGGGCAAAATTTCCATCAAACCACACTGCTTGACCCGTGCCAATAGTCATGCAGAAAAGTGGTACGTTAAATCTCATTTTTTCATTTCATTTGTCACACATCAATAATAATAATGATTGTTTTGGAAGAAACACTGTCTTATACAACAGATCTCACTTCAAAAAAACCTCGTATCTGGACATAACCCACACAACAATTCGTGGACATTGGCAATTAAAGATTTTCGGTTTGCTTTTTGCTTTTTGCGGGGTTTTTTTATGCAAAGATAAATAAACTTACCTTTAATCTAGACTTTCTTGGACAGAACAAAAGAAAGTAGATCAGTTATTCCCTGATTATCTTATCACTTTACCTATCCTGGGTTTCATGACCACGTGACTAGGCAACATTGAAATTTAACAGTGATGACGTGAACAACTTCTAAGAAATAGAACAGAGGTTATTGATAAATAATTTTATCTAAAGGTTATCTCTGCTCAGATAATGCATGTGTCATGAACGACACACAGGCTTCCTCATACCACTTGTCGTTGTAATATTGGTATTAAACCAATAGGCTGGCAACTCCTCTGGTGGCCTTTGGCCTTAGTGTCATCTTAAACCGGATAGCTTCGGCATCTCAAATTCTGGTCCTGGTTGTGACTAGTCTCATGCACACCTTCTGTACAAACCCCTTTGTGCACTTACGTTTATAATTGTGTTTTACGGCCCCGGAATATGCCCGCCGTCTTCATCAGCCTGGTTGGAGCGGGAAGTCGGACGTTAACCCCATTTCATTCGTTAATATACCCTCAACTGAAACAAGTATGTCTTCAGATTCAATTTCGATTATCTCAATCCTTCATTTCGATATGATCGATAGATACTACTATTCATTGTATATCAACTCGTGAAATTTCAAAATATTAATAGAATATATCAGTCAATATGAAAAGGCAAAACAATTTCGTAATGTCTCATTACTAAGGTATTTTCTTGCATAGTTGCTGCCTGTGAGCTCATACTCCAAGATAAGTTCCCACCCAATACAATAAACCGCTGACTAAAGGGAATTCAATTTTCTTTGAATACGCAGTCGAAATAATAATTAAAACTAAATATCAGTCCAAATAGTTTTTTTTTATTAATGTTGTTATTATTATGAATGAACAGTTGTCAGACCCCAGGAATCCATTACAGAGAGTCATCCGATCAAAGCATGGAATTGAAAATATAAATTATCATTGTTAATATTGTTGTACAAACTGGCATATTTAAAATGGCCTAGTTGGAGGAGAGACGTAGGACATTAAACACCATTTCATATTTAAAATGTCTTTTGTCTTCAAAGTTCCCAGTACTACGCCCTGTGCTTGATTCATTCTTGGGGCATATAATCAAGGAGTTGGTCAGGGCATCGCTAAAACTCTGCGCACTCTTAATCCAAAGTAAAATGACTGAGTTTAATAATAACCACGTTTCAACAATGGCATATTCGGGACCCATAGAATCACTTAATACATTTGATTAAGTTTTAATAAGTTTTAAAATGTTGTTTCTTATATTGTATTTGGGCAGCATCATGTTATGTATAGTAAATTATTGTTTAACAACCAGCCGAGCAGCGAAGACTCAACAGCACTAATAGAAAAAAAAACATCCGAGGTCGTAGAATTCATTTTATTAGAAAAATATGTTGTCGAACATCAAAACATGCACCCCACCCTGCAGCTTAGTTGCTCGACTGTTGTCGTCACTTTAATGTTTTGAAAACATTGACTTTCATTACATGTGATCGATGACAAAGGCAATAACTCTAAAATCAATTGATAAGCGAAGCTGAAATTGGAGAGGATTCATCATCCACAGAACTGGTCCAGAAGTTTGACGGCCCAACAGATGTGGGTAACGACAATGTACGACAGCATTAACACATGTACATACAAAAGAAATAAACCATGGTATAAAAATATGTTAAAGACAAAATAAAGCATTAATGGTAATATCAATATTGTAAGAATTCCAAATTTGAGCAATACAAATGTATGCAAAGCTGAATTTGGAGACGATTCATCATTCATAGAACTGGTCCAGAAGTTTGATGGCCCGACAGACGTGGGTAACGACAATGTACGACAGCATTAACACATGTACATGCATACAAAAGAAATAAACTATGGTATAAAAATATGTTAAAGACAAAATAAAGCAGTACAGGTAATAATATCAATATTGTAAAAATTCCAAATTTGAGCCATAAAAATGTTCCATCTCACAGAGTGATAAACATGATAACCTATCTTTTTAGATCTGGTGGATTGTATATGTTTACAGAATCAAGATTATAACAAGTATTGTAGTATAATATACACACTATAGATATACACGTATACACAAAATATAGATGATATACAATAAAATAAATACTGGTATATAAAGCTCCAGAATTCGAAAACTGTGGTTAAATATATACACAACCAAGAGCACTTATATTAAAAAAGATTATTTAAAAATTACAGCTGTAATAATTTTCGCTATCATTTTCATCCAAGCTAGCATACTGGCTAGCATATTCTACACTTATTAAATTTACGAAAGCTGCAAATAAACAGATATTTTGGACAGACTTCTGCTGTTCTTGTTATTTTAATAAAGTCTGATAACAAATGATGCCACCAGTACTAACATTACACTGGACTCCTCTGCAAAAGGAAAAAAAAGGCATACAATTTAGCTGTTTTGAAACACCAAACATAAAGTATTAATTCAACGAATTATACAACGATGTATACGATTTTCACGTTGATCAATTGCATTCTACCATATATTTGAATCAAGCCAAGTTAATCACAATTCTTTGGAATTTTACAGACTTAGTATACTCACTAAATTAAAGAGAGAGAGAGAGAGAAATGGGGTTTAACGTCCACTCGACACAAACTAGGTCATTTCGGGACTAACATATGGCTTAACTTTATTTACATAATTCGCTTGCGCGTAGGGGTCTTTAGCAGTGGGAGGAAACCGGAGGCCCCGGAGAAAACCCACGAGGTTGGACAGGCGACCCTACTCCTTGCCACGTACAACCGGGGATTCGAAACCACGCCAGTCGACTCAATGACAGACTTTATGATACAGCGCGCGCACGCTAACCATTCAGCCACCCCCCCCCCCCAAAAAAAAAATTAAACAAATATTAAATAAATATCAGAAGATAATGGCTATACCGTAACACCTTTCAATAATTCAGTTTTGGTAAGCTCCTTAATTTATATGGATGAATGTCATCTGAATTCCACCAATCGCAGCCGAACGCGCACTTAAATACTCAAACTAAACCATCTATTTGCCAATAAAATATCTGTATTAAATTGTAAGTGTATTACCTGAAATGGCTGTATTATTTCCTTCAGTGGTTACAACTGTTGTTGTTTCTTCAAAACCACCTTGATCTATAAAATAATTAAACAAATCAGATTTGTTTCTTAAATATATATAAAAAAAAACAATAAAATAAAATGTACCCGTTTATTCCTTACGTTTCATTTGCAACAAAAAAAGCCGTTTTAACGGGGGTAATTTCACATGATATAATATTTTAGAACAATACAATTATTGAATTGAAATAAGGTAGGTTTAAATGTTTGCTGCAAATCAATATTCATATTATACAAATGTATTACCTGGACAGTGAACTTTAACCTGGTTGAGCAAATTGGTTAGAGTTTGGGTCACAGTAGCTGTTTGGTTACAGGTTTGACTAAATGCTGTCGTGCATTTCAGTATTAATTTAAGTGAGCTGAAATGAGTGTCAAATATTAAGTCATGTAATATTTTCAAAATACAAATCTTTTTTATATCACGCGATAAAAAGTCGGATGACTGCACACGTTTACATAGTTTGCGATTCATATAAATCACACTAAAAGTACATTTTGAATATTAATATTATTTTTGTACAAAAAAAACAGTTAGTCACCGGCTACATTCACACAATGAACTGAAGTTTATACACCAATAAAACTATAAATTCGACATGTAACTCAACGGCTGTAGTCATCCTCTAATCTGTTTCTGCTAAGGGATATATAATTATTTAACTGATAAATAGTACCGCTCTGTTTTCAACATAATGAATGTGCACAGTAATTGCAACAAAAGGGAGAATTCGGCGCATTAAAAGATATTAAATTGTTTTTAGAAAGTTCTTAACGCAAACGTAGCTTTTTGAAAGTTCTTATAGTTTGGATAGAACAAAATTGGTAATACAATGAATTTCTATTCTTTTTGCCCTCTGGCACGATCTTGTAAGGATTTTGTAAAAGAAACCAATATTTTAATCCATTTCTATATCGCTAATAATAAACTACATACTTGCACCAGTATGTTTGGTCGGAGATTTTGTCCGTGACCTCGGCAATACCCGAGGGTAGGTTAATCTCCATACAGATTGATGTTTGCTGGCAGCCCGCAAAATTTGGAAACACTACAAATAAATTATGATAAGAAAATTCATGTAGTCATGAACAAAGATTTATATTTATTCAAGAAAATAATAATAATAATACCAACGTTAATAATAAAACAAAACTATGATATAAAAACAATAATTCCCAAAAGTTATACAAAAAAAATGTTCGAATGAAGTCTCTTCGCTGAAAGTTATTGGACTAACATTATAATGTGCTCTATGACCTTATTGAGCTTGCTGTATCATAAGGCCTGTCATTGAGTCAACTGGCGTGGTTTCGAATCCCCGGTTGTACGTGACAAGGAGTAGGGTTGCCTGTCCAACCTCGTGGGTTTTCTCCGGGTCCTCCGGTTTCCTCCCACTGCTAAAGACCCCTACGCGCAAGCGAATTATTGAAATAAAATTAAAACCATATGTTAGTCCCGAAATGACCTAGTTTGTGTCGAGTGGACTTAAACCCCATTTTTCTCTCTCTCTCCTTATTGAGCTGTTATTATTATATTTAGAAAGATTATATATACCTTCTGAACAATATGTCAAAGGAAATGGACGCACGCTAATGTTAAATGTTAATCAAAAAGGTGTAATAATAACATACCTGTACAAGATTGGGTAAACAGAGTTTGAATATCAGTTAAACTATAACTGGCTTTCACTTTACTGGATTCGCCACAGGTGTCTAAAGCTGCAGTAACGCATGTTACAAAGGCCGGAATATTACTTTAAGAAAAATGAGAATGTAAATAAGTATTTTAAAGCTATAGCCCCAAACACATGGTTCAAAAATCGTAATTAAAGCTTTAGTAACAAATTCCGGAATGGTAACATATTATGTTCAAAATGCCGGACTTTTATTGCGACTATTGAGAAGAAAAATCAGGTTTATAGCTACACGAAAGTCTTAATTATATTGTAACATCCAATTATCACATTGAATCATCACTCTTAGAGAACAAATTCCAAAACATTCAGACTGCTGTTATAGGTATGACGAAGGGACAGACATAAATTAATATGTGTTTACTCACGGACATGATTGGATCACGGACCGGTCTGATCCCAACGTGGACAAACATGCTGCTACTCCTGGGCATGGATTTCTAACTGAATAACATAATACCACGATACATTGATCATAATTGTATTATTTCAAAAAAAAAAAACCATGAATTTTATTCACCAACCGAAACTAAACGATGGACCAACAGATGTTATTGTGACACAAAAAACAAACAAACAGACACATGCTAGGTACAATAAGAGGGTTATTCTAAAACTATTTCAAGATGATGCTGGAAATCAAATCTAAGTCTCCAGTCAAAAGTCATTTTTCTGGAAACTGGGTTAATACTGTCCAGTCTGATTATAATTATACTGACATTGTATTCCTTTTTATTTTTCCTTTGCTTATTCCACTATATCTCGGCTTAAATACATGTCGATATCGGGCTTGTGTCCGCTTTTGACGAATTCCTTTTACGTGCATCCCCATGTGTAATCCCATAATCCTCGATTTTCCGTACAAATCGCACCTCTCCCCCCAAATTCTTAAACCTAACCCTGGACCTAGCCCCAATGCTTACCCTAAATAGATATTTTATTCACTATAAATGATGTGAGATCGATAAAAAGGCACAATGACGTTGCCAAACCCCTATCCATTTAAACTTATGAATAATTGGAGGAATTCTATTACTTTTTACATAAAACACTCACCGCCATTACAAATTGTATCAGTCGTTGTCTTTATAGAGGCTGCATCTGCAACGCTATTCCCTCCTAGCTTACAAGGTGTAGGTGCAGCAGATACACAGTTAGATATACCTTTAGCCATTCTAGTAAAACACAATATAAACAGAGAATACTTAGGTACAGGATACAAATTTAAGTCAAAATAAAAAAAAAATACCTGTGTTTACAGTTAACCGACCGACACTATTTTTTTTAGCCGTAATCTATGATCTTAAACCGTTTTCTCATTTCCCAAGCCCTATAAATCGTTATTCCAACAGCGAGATTTCTGTATTATTTTCAAGAACCTTACCCAGTAAGTAAGCTAGAAATGCCAGGAAACAGATAATACGAACCCCAGGAAAACAAAAAATCATAATTTGTTTTAAAATTCCGACCGCCCAACCCTCTTTTTGTGGCCTAGTAACTGTAAACACAGCTATTTTTTGCTTGTCTTAGCACGATTACGGAAAAGATATGAAATAGCGAGACTGGCTTATACGAAAGCATACTTATGATTTCTATATTTCTCTAAGACAGATAAAGATGGCGATTTGAAATCCTAGAAACCAACAGAAATTTTAAATGGCCACAAGTTAGACGGTATATATAATCTTTGGGCCAACGATTCATTCATAAACATATACTTTGGTAAGCCTTGGGGAGCAAGGAATCGTTACATTTGCCTGTCTTTAGCTTGGGATTTCTCATAGAAAAGATCAATTTTATACCTTAAAAACAAAAATAACCAGGCCCGTAGCCAGCTTGCTGGCGCAGGGGGGGGGGGCAGCCCCGGCGATAGGGGGGTCCGGGGGGGGGCTCTCCCCCCGGGAAGCAGGGGTCCGGAAAATTTTGAAAATTGAGCAGCTGTAAACGAGTTTCTAAGCATAGAAATCGACAATTATATGTTCTAAGAACGAACTATTCTGAGCGTTTTTCAAGAAATATATTCAAATCATACATAGGTAATTTATAAATATGGTCGACAACTTTTTGTCAGGGGGGGCAAGATTATTTCCAGGGGGGGGGGGGCCTTGGCTACGGGCCTGAAAATAACGTGATTAAAAACACGTATACATTTTACATTATTAATATAATACTCGAGATAGTAATTTGTGAACAGGAAAGCCAAAATTGACCCCCAATAATTGTCTTGTAGAAATCGTATTCTATTTCCAATATATTGATATTTTCATAGAAAAGATCCATTTTATACGTTAAAATCAAATACGACGTGGATAAAAAAACTTAGTACATTATTGACACAATACTCGGGATAGTAATTTGAACCATGGCAACGCCAATCCCATCTCCCATTGATCTACATTGTTTTGTAGAAATCGTGTTCTATACTGGACATCTAGAGAAAGAGCTTAAACGATTTTCAATATATTGATATTTAATAAATAATAAAAACTGTTTTCTCTCTTACTTGCACCAGTGTTCAGGGTTGCCAACAGCAGAGATTGACTTGAGTGTTACTGGTTCGGGTATTAAAGCAGAGACGCCATTCCGTGTACACGTACCAAATGTCGGACAGGTACCTATGGCTGGGTAGGCACTCAAACCTGTGAAATTAATTAGTAACTATACAGTAAGGGTATAAATATATCTGGAATAAATTACGACTTATAGTTTCAACAGTCTGTTCCTTCTTACTTATTCTTTTTATTTACAAATACGACTCATAACTGTGCAATGATACTTGTGCGAGTTGATCTCAAAAAGGAATATCTGTTCAAAATTGTTCAATTCCGTGCTGATATAATATGAAAAATTGAAAGTTTTTCAGCATATAAACAAGTCAGCTCAACTCATAAGTAATATCGTATACTGGGCCTCTTTTGAATCCAATTGAATTCACGCCGGGAGAGTGTCTATCGTCTATAAATTGTTTTTTCTTTTGTTCTTAATTGGATGTTAAATAATCAATTTTTGAGTACATTTTAGCACGGATTTAGGAATGAAAAGTAATAAATTGTCCGAAAAATGTAAATGATGATTCGCGGCTTCATTAATTTCTTACCAGTGCATATTTGTTGATATAGAGGCATAATTTGCGTAAGTGTCAGATCTCCAACTTTTGGTTTATCTTTACAAGCTGTATTCACACACGTCATAAAACTGTCGATTTGGCTGTTGGGATAAATAAAAGTCTTATAGCTCACAATTTTATGCCAATGAAATAAAATAAATGAATGAAAATATCCAATAAAAAGAATAAACGATAGGAATTTGTGACTAATGTGGGGCGAGAGTAGTAAAATTTACACCGTGACGACACGAAAGTTTGCATGTACTGTAAAACTACCAACCAGACTACAAACAGATTGTTTCCCCAAATCATAACAGATAAATATCAGGTCGAATTTGATCCATGTTTCTCTAATGGAAACTGTAATATAAGTTCACTATTTGAAGTTAATTTTAGATGGGAAGTATGGCGTTTGGTTCCCTATTCTTAGAAATTTGCTTCGTGCAGATACTTTAGTAAACAATACATAAAGTAAATAACATGAATACAAACAAACATGGATGAATTGGTGGCTGGAATTAATCGAAACTATAAAAAATATACATACGAGCAGACTGTGATTAAATCTCGGTTTGCACCGAAAGGGCTTAAACAAGCACTGAGGCCAGGGCAATACTCTGAAATTAGAAATAAGTTGTAAAATGCCATGGATCGTAACCCTAATGTGCTGTAAATATGTCAATCCACTCTATTATATTTTTAAATAATATATTAATTCAGGATATCTGATTGGAATTGGCGAATAGCATTATCCCAATTAAAACCCACTCTATTTATAGAAATATTTTATACTAAAGTTATTTGATACTGAATCAGTCTTTAAAAAAATTGGACTATCTAAGGTAAGGAGCCTTGTGAGCACTTATTTATTTTAATACAATTAAACATATTTTATGAAATAGTTAAACGGTTAGCAAGCAATTTTATTTCAATACCTTGGTATCCAGAACATTGCATCTCCAAAGCAAGTTCAAATTGTTGGGTATCCCCGAACACTGGCACCTGCGTGCACTGATTTCTTTTAAAGCAATTAGACATCTCAAGGGAAACACTTGAAGGATAGAAAGAACAATTGGAAGATACAATAAAAAAATTAAAAAAATTGATATGTACATGTAAATTTTAAAAAAAAACCATGAATGTCTACTCAGTTAACCTCTTTTTTTCGATGTCTTGGCGTTGTACTATTTGGATCGTGGAATAGATAACAATAGGGTTTTGTGTTAGTTTTTGTGTTAGATGGACCGAAACTTCGAGGGTGTTCTCAAGTGTAATTATTTAATACAATGCAACTTTATGGATATCATTCACTAAGTTTATATTTTTGTAGAAGCCTTTATGATCGGAATCATCCCTATATTTATCTATGTACAGTTAAACACCTTATTAGATAGCCAATGCAAATTGTCACATGCGTTATAAAGGCGTTTCGTATACCAGTCAGTAGAGATTTCATGGCGCTAAAAGTGTTTCAAGTATTACAAAACTCGTTTAAAGTAGTTTACACTACCTCCTATTTTCCCGTAGATTTATGGACACGTCTCGTCTTAACACCAGAGATAATCTTGTTCACCCTAAGGTAATTTGACTTCACATTACGGATCTGTAAATACTCGATAACATCGGACCGAAGTTAATCTACGCTTGACAATGATAGGTGGTAACCGAGATGACAATCTGAGTTGATTAGCGATAACCTGACAGTGTACATGTATGTTCATATTGGCATCTTGTACCCAGTTTATAAATATTACCGTATTTCCCATAGCACAGCCAGTTTTATATGTAAAAAATAATAAGTCATGGATAAGACTTACCCACAACATCTATATGTACTCTCATAATCGTCCTGGGAGGTATTTTGACAGCCAGCAGCCATAAACGGCGTGACACATCCCATACAGTTTCCTCCTATATGGAAAAGGTTATAGAATTAACCAAAACACTTGCCATAGTAAAGGTCGGTCAATAAAATATATCTAAGCTATTATCAAGGCCCGGAAAACTTTTGTTGAAATCCAAATCCGGTGCCAAATGTTAGTTTAATATCTATTCATAGCATTCAAATCAATTAGGGATTATTTTGAATATATAGGCTGTCGATTGAACTGGATATACATGTACAATTGATTTAATTTCTTTGTGCTTTCTCTACATCATTACGTCATAATCATAAAGTTTTCTTGAACTCTACCCGGGCCATTAAGCTATGCTTATATTACTGGAAAATATTCTTTCTTTTTAAAACGTTTATAGGAACAATGCAGTTTTAGATCATGTCTCTTATTGTTAAAATCCCATAATTTATTTGCAGGCAGTATACTGAAAACATTCAGTTGATTTCGAAATTTGACATCGTTATGATGTACACCCTTTCCGTATATACAATCAACTAATGGTTATGAGCGCATTGGACGCTTACGGCTAGTCCCCCGGATCACTTGATCTGATATATACGTTTGTTGTTTGAGGTGTCTATGTATATTGTGTCCTGTCCGTAGGTTTTTCTTTATATGTGGTGCGACCTCATGCATTAAAAATGCATTATGTAAGATTCAAATAGAGATCTGATCGTTAAAATAAAAAATGACAAATGAATAAATTGAAATATTCAGTCAAATTACTTTATTCTGAATGAATTTTGAAGTGTGGATAAGAAGTAGCTTAAATAGTTTCGATTGCCGAGTACCATTCTACGATAATAAACTTTGTCTCCATTTTCTTCCTTAACGAAGATATGGCAGACAAGTTCTAAACCTCTTAATATGCCAGCCATCCAGTGACCGAGAATGTTGGTTATGTGAATAAAATATAACATATAACATTTGAAGACAAAAAAAAAACAAAAAAAAAAACAATACCCGTAATAGCTAGATTTAGCTCTTACAGAATGCATCTTTAATAATGAAGATCATCTTTGAAAAATGAGCCAGTCAGAACTCTCTTTAGTGGGTGATATAGTTTATGTCCTTTTCATATTGAGAAATAATTTCATACCTGCTCCACACATTTGGTCAATCATTGGTTTGAGAGCATCTAAGGGTGATGTAGCGTTCGCGGGTATAAAAGTTGGACACTCTTGTGTTAACTGATTATAACATGTAGTTAAGTTCGGCATTGTACTGAAAAATATACATTATTAGTGATAACCATTATAAGTCATAAGTCATGATCAAGGAACATAATATTGGAAAACTTTCTCACCGTCAACAAATTCTAATGGAGACGCCGTTATTACACTTACAAGACGTGTAAGTGATGCTTGTGCTAAGATAGCAAAAAATAAAATCAAGCTCCGTGTTTGACACCGTATAAATAATTAACGTAAGCAACCTTTTCTTTTTAGACAGATATTAGTTTAGATCTTCGAACTGTTGACCAAATTGTGCTACATGGAACTTAATAAAGGATAGATGAGGATCCCCGCATGCTAGGTTGAACGTTTCTTTAATACATTCGGTAGACTAACATCAACAGCTTAAGAAATGAAATGAAATGAAATGGGGTTTAACGTCCTACTGTTCTGCTCCTGACCTGGGCTGATGAAGACGGGCATACGCCATACAGTGTGCTATGAGGGAAATTTTGCCTGCATCACTGACAAGGGGAAACCACGCCGGAAAATCTGAATGAACTTTCCAGGCTAGCGAGCCAGCATCTTACCCACTTAGCCACCAACAGCTTAAGAAACACAAGCAACACCATTATTACCAAAAATCTTATCAAGTACATCTCAGTAGACTGTTTCTCTAACAAAAATATCTTATTTCAGCATCTAAATTACTATCTAATCACTTCCTATTTTTGTTTAAAAATTAAACAAATAATAAATGAGATCACATCTATCAACTCCCAAATAAAATCAAAAATTAAACTTACGAGCAAATCATGGGCGCTAAGTTTTGTATTGCTGACATATCGGTAAAATCGACGGAAAATATATTACGTGAAATGGTACTACACTCCATAGATTTCTGTAGACAACCACCTTGCATGCCTGAAACATTTAAATTGAAGTAAAGTTCCAAATGTGAAGGGGCAGTTAGTATTGTGTGCTTTATTGCATCACTATCACCAGGCTTCTGAAATCTGTGTTTAAAGCAACTAAGTCTCTAACTTAATATTTTCCATATTATTCGAAATTAAAAACACGAATTAGAATTCAATATTGATCAATTTCAATCAATATTGATGTTGTTATCGTGCCGTGAAAGACATGGTTTCGGGTGTTATTTTGTAATGAACAAATTAAATAAAAACACAAATAAAAACATACCCTACAACACAATGTGGAAGTAATTAGTAAAGGCTGATTCACAAACGATAAAATAATAATTTAAAAAAGCGAAAAAAACCCAAACGTGTAGACTGCAGTAAGCCGACGTAAACGACTGTCGTTCAATTTGAACTGTTTACGTATTTTACCGAACATAATTGATTAGAAATTACAATATTATTTTCAAATATTGAATATATATATATCATGTTATAAACATTCATATTACATTAATATGTGTTTTTAGAATCATATTTGTCTATTTTAAGGTTTAAAAAATAGTGCCATACGCCCTTTAATAAAGTATCAAAATGTTTTTCAAATTGAGTGCAACATTCTGTTTGACTGATTTGGGATTGTACATCCACAACTATCCATCCTACACTAACCTGGAGCCTACCCGCATATCATCCTGAGAACTTTCATAATGAATATTAAATACCTGGCTCGGAATAGACCACTTTATCGACATTGTGATTACAGTAACGGTTCAATTTTATTTCAATAATTCGCTTGCGCGTAGGGGTCTTTAGCAGTGGGAGGAAACCGGTGGACCCGGAGAAAACACACGAGGTAGGACAGGCGACCCTCATCCTTGTCGCGTACAAGCGGGGGATCGAATCAACGCCAGTTGACTCAGTAAAAGGCCTTATGATACATCGCGCACGCGCTAACCATTCGGCCATCCAACCCGCATTGGACCAAACACTCAAGCGATCTGACTTGGGCTATACATTTTAAAGTGGTACTTATAACGAAAACTACACACTCAGATCTTTCTTTATCCGGCTTTAATCTTATGGAAATGAAATGAGGTTTAACAGTCCACTATTTTGCAACGACTGGGCTAATGACGACGGATACACACCACACCGTGGGTTATAAGGGAAACTCTGCCCAGAATTTGGAACCTCGGTTTTTCGTCCTACCCGAAGGTTAAAACGTTGTGCCTTGCTAGACCATCCGTCCTTCACCACTATTATCTTACTACAGTGTATTTGCCATAAAAAATCCCTTGGGTTTATACTGTTTAAATCATATTCATACCTGTATCGTTTCCACAAAGTTGTGCAATCAAGGGTCTAACATCATCTAAGCTAGATGTTGCATTCGCGAAAGCTGGATTGGTACATGTAAGTGTTAGTTCACTGTAGCATCCTGTAATCTTACCAAATGCACTGAAAGACATAATATATAGTAATCGTTGATATTCCAACTTGGCTATCTTAGATTTATTTAAACTATCGTTGAACTCTATATATATGCAGCTACTGATATACATTTATAATTAAAATTGGTTCGGACCAGCTCAAAACAAACATACCGAATGTAAAGACCGCTTTCCATGAAATCATACATTAATTTGAATGACAATTATTCTGACATTTTGATATGTTAGAAATAAGGTCTGTTTCAAAGATAATCAGGTTGATATTATTCCCGTAGTGATAAATATCAAGATGTTAACATATTACATTTAAGATTAATGGTGACTTTTGATAGGTGCCAATCTATTCACATTGGTATCTACTTTTCTGTTTTGAACTCAATTTTAATTTTAATATCATAGTATCAAGCGGTGTTGAAACAAATCATAAACCTATACAATTTTAGTATCAGATTGTATTGAAACAGATCATATACCTACACAATTTGGAAAGAAAAATGATATTAACGTATCATGTTCTTAATAATTAAGAACATGATACCTGTTCATATTGAGAAAAATGATATTAACGTATCATGTTCTTAATAATTAAGAACATGATACCTGTTCATATTGAGAGAGAGAGAGAGAGGGGGGGGGGGGGGAGAGAGAGAGATGGGGTGGTTGTTTTAATATCCACAAACTAGGTCATTTCGGGACTAACATTATTATTCAATTTCATTTGGATAATTCACTAGCGTGCATTACCCCCCCCCACCCCACCCACGTTCATATTGCAATTCCCTGTTGATATGCTGAGATTATATCAAACAAGTAGAAACTTACGGGCACATTGTTGAAGAAATACTTTGTAGAGTAGACACATCTGTGAAATTTATGTTAAGTATATCATTTGCAAGCTCGGTTGAATAGTTTGCACACTCTAAAACTTTCTGAAAACAGCTGTTTGCTGCAAGTTGAAAGAAAAATAGTTATGAAATAACGGATCACTAATAAAGCTAATTTAGATATAAAAAACATAGAAAGGTTTATATCTACAAAGCGCATTTAATCCAGGCGTGAGCCTGTTCCTCAATGCCATTCAGATATCCTGAATAAAAATATTCATAAATGGGATACAAGAAATCATTTCACCTGTTTATATCCCCAAAAAAACCCAAAAAAGCATTCTATTCAAAAATTTGATCTGCATGTGTTTCCATTTTCAATTCAGGTTGCCCTGTACTACACTGAGAACTAACCACGTCTTGATCAATTCTTTATTGTCTCTGAAGTCTAACTATAGACACTCTGATTGATACAATAAATAATGCCCAAGTGACATGCCGCCTTAAAAAGATATTAATAATGTAACTATAGAATCCGCGTAATGTCCCTTGTTATACAGGGTGGCCCAGTGATTAAGGCATTGGCCCACTAACCTCAAGGTCAGATGCTCGACCCTGGTGTTGCCTAGAAAGAGTTCATTGAGATTTTCCGGCCTGGCTCCATTTTGTCAGTGATTCAGGGCAGAGGACATATCAAGGAAAGAGCCTAGTGGTTAGGGTGGGACGAAATACCGAGGTCCCGTGTACACGTTGGCATACATGTACAGGAACCCTTGACAGTTGGAATTCAATTGTTGTCGGTTCAAAATGTCCCACAAAACTCCATTTCATCCAATTATTTACTCCTAGTCATAAACCCAAAGTACAACTCAAAATGAGCAGTAGTTTCACCCAAAAATATATTCCAATAAACTTATTAAAAATGAATTTAATGTTGCTAATTATTGTATGTATTTGGTGCAGTATATAACGCGGACACCGATAACTAATAATTATTGCTTTAATATAAATGTTATAATAATGGAGATAAAGTATTTACGTCCAACCAAGAATAAAGTACAGTATAACAATCCCTGGCAATTAGTTTCCAGAAATGGTTCATATTAGGAATATCTTCTTGTATGGGATTCAAGAGGCTATAGAGTGATAAACATACATCCTATTCCATCAGCCAGTTTCGCAGCCACCAATAATGATTTTACTCAACCAACTAAAGGTTGGGCAGACTGGTAATAATATGAGTCGTATGTTGCCAGCATAAAAACAATTACTTACATATTCCACAACCCATAACTGTGGTGTTTATTGTCGTTTTAATCTGGGTAAATTCTGGGGGTACAGCAGTTCCTAGAGGACAGTCAGCTGCGTCAGTATCTAAACAGATCGTGGCCGTTGTCGCTGCTCTGTAAAAATAATTGATATCTGAACATTACATTATCGGAAATAGAAGGGCAAAACAAATTTTAAATGCTTTTCGAGAAACGTCGGATAATGGATAGTAAAGCATGTATAAAAGCCCCTTTAAGTCTAAAGCAGAAAGCATGAATAAAATGGGGTTAGACGTCCTACTTTTCTGTACCGAAATGGCCAATGAATTCTGACATAAGCCATACAATGTGCTATAAAGGAAACAATACAAATGCAATAGAGAGGCGATGGTTCCTAGCACTAACAGGGTGACAAATCCACAGTTAAATTGGTGGAAGAAATAGAATCATTGTGAACAGTAGAATCGAATCTATACACAGAGAAATACACATTAAAGGATTAAATATTAAATGTGTACGTTTTAGAACTAATACAAGCATTCATCCAATATAAAAAGGGTGAATATGAATTGAAATGAATCGCCACACTGAATAATGTAAATCTATAATCAATGTTGTGGTAAAACGCACCCACAGATCTGCTGTTGCGTCAATGGTGGATTACTGCTACCTGTTGCAGTAACATACTGTTGTTGGCAGTTGTTGTAATTAGTATAACATCCATCACATGACAAAACCAGTAGTATCACTGAAATGTACATACAACGGATAGTGAAACAGTGTTATTTATATTAACCGTTGCAATTAGTATAACATCAATCACGTGATAAATACCAGTAGTATCTCCGATAGTGAAATAGTGTTGATGATAGTTGTTGATAGTACAACACCCATCACATGACAAAACAGAAAGTTTCACTGACATAAATGCATTTACAACGAATAGAGTGTTTAATGTCCACCTCAACAATAGCTAGGTCATTTCGGGACTAACATAATGCGCGTAGGAGGACTTGGAGGAAACCAGAGGACTTGGAGAAAACCCACAAGGTTGGAGAAGAGCGAGCTATCGATGGGCATTAAGAGCTTAAAAACTTACCGAGTTGGACGGGTTAGTGCAGGGGCGGGGGTGGGGGTGGGGATCACGCCTCCCCCTCCCTTTTCTGTTGCAATGTTTTTGTTGGCGTCGGGTGCTAGTGCTTGGGGGAGGGGGGGGTATGCCTTCACACTCAACAGGCTAATAAAGTAGGGACGGAAATTGTACACGGTCTACTCTTATTTTAAGGGGGAACAGCAATTAGAATGTCACAAACTATTTAAGTGCACTTTTAATCCTCTTTACTTCTCGGAAAAATTGTAAGAGAACAACAATCTAGTTTGCATCCCCTCCCCTTCCCTTTTCTAAGATTCTGTATTCGCACCTGCAAATTATTTATTTAACGACTATTTATTTTGCTGAAACTACGTGAGAGCACTGACGTGTGAAACCATAATTTACAATGATAAGAAGAAGTACTTATTATTGTTATTACATACCTTTTACTGTATAGCGTGATCCCAAGAATACAATATATCAAGGTCATATAATGTCGCAATTCTATTTAAGAGTACAATTCAATTCAATTTAACCACCCAAACGTGTAGTGAGTATATAGTTTATTGCAAACCAGGGTTTGTAAGCTATAAGGTAACATATACTGTTCCAGAAACATGAACCCTTAAAGTAACAAGTAACAATGCGTGCACACTTAAAGATATCTTGTGTGTGTTTTGGGTTTTTTGGGGGTTTTTTTTGTTGTTGTTTTATTTTTATTTTTATTTATTTATTTATTTTTTTTTGGGGGGGGGGGGTATGAACGGTATTGAAAGATTTTTGGACACTCTATTTCATTTCATTCCCTATAAGAAATATAACTTGTATTTAAATTGCTAGGAATTCATAGCTTAAATCGCGTCCATTTGAAACGTTCAAATAAATTCGGTATATCATAAGTTTTTCAACAATGGCGCGTAGAGAAATGGATTATTTTTAGAAACTGTGTTGTGACAAGGTAACAAAATACATTTTTTTTTCATATTTAATATATAGAAATCTGATATTATATAATAATACATGTATGAAACAATAAACAAAATGTTAATACCAAATGGAGACGTTTAAATTGAATAGTTATACATAACAGATTTCTGTTGTTTCCAATTTATACCTTCGTATGTTTGTAAATGGGTTTAGACAAGTAGCCACCACATTTTTAGAATTTGTAGATTGGCGTCTTTTTATAGTTCAGTCTATTTAAGGGAACAGTACCCTTTGCTAGAACTGCGTTTAAGTTTGAAATAGTGGGAAATTATTGGAATAGTCAGCGAAACATGTGAAATCTGAAAGTTTAAATAATCTGCGAAGAGAACAACATAGTTTCAGATAGTATAGAATTAGGGAAAGGTTTCTTTCATATGTCGAAAGGATGTCAAATGTTGCGAAATTCCCCATCATTTATGTACTGTTATTCTTTTCAGAGATTCACCTTTCGCAATGTTTTAGTTTGCAAGGGATTCAACATCCATCAAATTGCGATCTTACAAATGTGACTTTAGGTTAATGGGATGGACTTGGAGCGAAATAGATTGGTAAAAAGGAAAAAAAGAAGCTGCGTACTATCGCGCATGATTGATTACATACAATGTGGTCTTACAACTGTAACTAAAGTAAATGGGATGAGTTTGTAGCGAAAACAAAAAAGCTGCGTGCTATCACGCATGACTGATTACATACAATTGGAAAGGACAACAATAAATGCCTGTTATTTCACGTAAAGATATTTAATTTCATAATTCAAAAACATACCTGACAATAAGCTCTAGTCGTGGCTTTCATAACAGCAAATCGCGTGTTTATAGTTTGCAAGATCATAATTTCGCAATGTTTATACATTCCACCAAGTTACATTTAGAACAAACAAGTCGCCATAAATCAAAACCATATTATTAACCAAATTATATTTATTGATTTATTTAACATTCTGTTGTCTGTTTTACACCTTGAACACATGCCGCCATTTTAAGTGAGAAACTCACATTTTACAATTACAGGCAAAAATCTTGTCGACACTTAAAATTGGACATATAAAACTCTAGGCAACAATCTATTTTGCATCCCTTTCCCTTTTCTAAGATCCCGTATCCGCACCTGCAAATTATTAATTTAGCGACTATTTATTTTTGTTACATGGACTGGAATAGTGTCAGGTTTATCCTAATTGATTATTTTGCTGAAACTATGTGAGAGCACTGACGTGTGAAACCATAATTTACAATGATAAGAAGAAGTACTTATTATTGTTATTACATACCTTTTACCGTATAGCGTGATCCCAAGAATACAATATATCAAGGCCATAATGTCGCAATTCCATTTAAGAGTACAATTCAATTCAATTTACCCACCCAAATGTGCAGTGTGTATATAGTTTATTGCAAACCAGGGTTTGTAAGCTATAAAGGTAACATGTACTGTTAGAGAAACGATACATGAATCCTTAAAGTAACTATGCGTGAAGACTTAATACATATCTCGAGTCTTTGGAAAAAGCAACAGTATAATAATACCGTGCTTTAGGGCTTGGCTTGGGTCAAGGACACCGATTTATTTTTCAATCTTCGAGAGTATAACACTTGACACTCTTTGAACAATACATTTGTGTAAACTCATTTTATAGTGAATTGCGCAATACGTTTAAATGTTGTGACACCAAACGTCAATATCGATCAATGACGGTGAATAAACCATCAATGCCCAAACGTACTAGATACACTGCTTGGTTACAAAACCACGAATAATATTTAATAAAATACAATGTCAGAGAAATACAATCAAATAACAAACGGTCTTCTCAACAACATTTGCAGATAATCGGAGTCCTCCGAGAAACAACCTAAAATAAATTTGAAGGGCATTTCTATTTGCTATAATTGGTTTAACAATGTTTAATATTATCATCAATGTCATCAAGCTTCATCTATTGGATTAATAACTTAGTATGTTCAGTATTGCATGGATTGATCATCGTCTCATAAGGAAAACCCGTATCTTTGGGATGTAAATTGTGTAGTTGTACCCCGTGTTACACAATTTGGACAAATATCAATGTACAATTTAATTACCAAAGCCTTGAAACGAAATGGAGTTTATCATGCTTCTGTTCTTCACCAAAAGTGTACCAATAGAGAAATTTAGACAGGAAAGAGGCGTTTCCGTGTACTCTTTGTCAAGTTCAAGCTGTCAATGGTTTTTTACGTGCACATCTACATTGAATGAAACCTTGGTTTTACTCTCATCCGAACTAGTAACAGATGCTCATTGCTATGCTCCCCCATCTGTTTTTCTGACACTATTTATTCAATAAATATTTACATATTATAAAAGTACACTATATGATTGTGGGATTTGAAAACACGCCGGGGCTTATATAAATTCATCTCCCCAGGAATATAATAAAGTACATTGTATAAGATTGTAATTATAAATAATATACTGGAATAAAATTACAAGGCAAATGCGTTTTTTCTCATTTAATTGATCAAAAAGTTATATTGGATATAATATAAATTAGTTAAAATATAGAATGTAGTAGAAATGTAGCGTGGTTGGCGAAACGATTTTATGATGTTCACAGTACGGAAAGAGTATGCGAAAATCGAGTTGTGGAAAGAGGAGAAAGGAACTAGTATCGGAATGGGAGGTATACTTTCGATGACCTCCACTACACGAAGATCTGACCAGTTGTAGTGGGGGGTCGCGCCAGGGGCCATACGAGCGGCTTTTGGCCTAAGACGTCGTACATGTGATTAACCAATTATCGTTGATGTTTCTAGTAGGATACCCACAGTTCCGTGCATCACACGTCAAGAACTCACTGTAACAGACCATTTCTTAAAGATATCATAAATGAGGGTGCCTGAGCAGTGGATTCACATGCCACCCGGTGACTGAATAGGTATCATTCGAGAATTCTGATCAGTGGTGGATCATGCTGACAAGAGAAGGTCGGATTTTTATTAGCAACATACTTGAGGTTGTGAATGTGAACCACGTTAGTAAAAGTACAAAACTTACCTGCGGCGGCATAATACGCCGCTGGTTTGGTTATATACATCATCTTGTATAATCTGTAGTTTACCTGTCGATAAATATTCCTTAATGGTAGTAATGAATGTGATTACGGCGCGATCAATAATTATAGTCACTGTGTAAACTTGAAACCGATGACAACTAATTTATATAGCTGCGTCATTATCGTACGCTCGAATGAAATTACGGTCGAACTGAATGTGGCTTTCATAGGATAACGGGCCCGCAGTGGACCGATTGGCTGTGTCAATCCCTGTCGACATACAGATAAAGTCCTTTGTCCTCAAGCACAATATACATAGAGGATATTTGTCGTTTTAGAGTGAATAACATATTTTATTTCATCGAATGCGTAGCATGAGTGGAAATATAAACGTTTTCTTGCTTAGAGATGAAATAAAACATGTTATTCACGACAAAACGACAAAATAAATGTTCTATTTATTTTATGATTTTACAATCATTTTAGGTAAAACCAACATGGACTACTGCTAGCCAGTGGAATAACACTTTTATTTCACTGATAAAACGCGGTATTCCACTACTGATCATACAATAAATATACATACACACGCACAAATACAAACACACCCACATACACCGAACGGTAGAGTGGTTCAGGGTCAGAAGAAAATCCAACCGACAAACAATATTTGGGGTTTATTTTAAAGGAGAATGCTATAGTAAAACTTTAATTCTATCATTTACTTAGTCCATTGTGTAAAGCATTTCAGATTTTTTTTTTTTTTTTTTAAAGTTTTAGTAACAAATAACGTTAAAAAACACTTTCAGATTTCCGCAATTACGGAAACCTCCGACAATTAATGAGCTGAAGCTACATCACGTGACATGACGTAAGAGTGGACACTCCTATTGCAGTCGATTTCAATGTGGCATCGGCAGAAAGTGACAGCTTGTCAGGAATGTTCTTCCCTATCAATACGAGCCAGTTAGAAATGCGAGGAACAACGGTGACGATGATGGTTCGGAACATTCTACCATTTCTAGCCACGAAGAATGATAAATAGGTACTAAAAACAGCGTAGGCTACACACCCTTTCTTATCATCAGTCCTTCAAGAGAGAGAGAAATTGGGTTTAACGTCCACTCGACACAAACTAGGTCATTTCTGGACTAACATATGGTTTAATTTTATTTCAATAATTCGCTTGCGCGTAGGGTATCTTTAGCAGTGGGAGAAAACCGGAGGACCTGGAGAAAACCCACGAGGTTGGACAGACGACCCTACTCCTTATCACGTACAACCGAGATCAGTCCTTCGATTCTCGATAAGTTTTCGCTTCATTTAGGCCCTATTGATGTTCACGCTTCATCGCAGAAAATATGTCAGAGAAAAACTATAATTTACGGTATTATATGACCTACACTAGCTACGGGAACGTAGCTAAAACGGGGCCCTAGACTAGCTACGAGAACGTAGCTAAACACGGGGCACATCACAGTACTATCATCGGATTCGGAGAAGGTCCCTTTTGCTGAAAAATCTTTTTTATCACTATCAGTATCACGCTCATTTCTTACATCTAGGCTTATCTATGATCGACTGCAAAATCATCGACATAGGCCTACACCTACCATTGACGCGGAAGACGCTTGGAAAAGAGGATATTGATTTACATTAGTATTTAGGCTAGGCCTCTACTTTAGTCTAGCTGTGTTGTTTACATTTCGTTGCTCTGGTTACATCAGTCATTTCTATTGTTAGATTTCGAAAGCGTGTCGGTTTCGCCATAGAATGCACAGTTTTAACATAAAAAGAAAACATAACTGTTATATCTTGATTTTGAGATTAAGTCTGAATATCGAAAAACGAGTAGCTCGATTTTCGAAATCGATTTTCTGCTTTTTTTTTAGATTCAAGTCTGAATATCGAAAACCGAGTAGCTCGTATCAATAAACAATGAGAAACTGCAGTTTTTATGCGAATTCAATCCTCGGGCATCCTCATTTATGATATCTTTATGAAACGGTCTGTTACGGAGAGGCCTTGGCGTGCGATGCACGGAACTGTGGATCCTACTAGAAACATCAACGATGATTGGTTAATCGAATATCTGACGTTATAGGGCCAAAAGCCTCTCGTATGACCCCTGACGCGACCTCCCACTACAACTGGTAAGATCATCGTGTAGTAAAGGTCACGGAAAGTATAAAAACGAAACGAAATATAGATCTATATTTAAATTAGATTGCTTTTCTCGGTATCTGTTGCAGAAATGTATCGTTTCAAGCCCCTTCTATAGATGGCGGCTGATAGTTTTGTTCGTTTGATGTGAAGATGCAGACTATCGTTGTTTGGTGGCAGGCATATATCAGAAATAATTCCATACCGGAAACAGTTGTATCGTACATTATCTACCAGGCCCGTAGGTGGCAAAGGCTTCTGGGTGCGCCGATGGAGATTCTGGGAGTGCCGACGTACCTACACTTGACGACCCACGGCGACGAACGGTACCGTGGATACCCTCCCTTCGGAGAAGTGTCTAGGGTGCTCTACCCCCAGAAAATTTTGGAAAATAGGGTTTACACGGAAAATGATGGAAAATTTTAATTTTGAGGCTGAATTTGCGATATTGACGTCCCCCTTGACCCCCCCCCCCCCCCCGACGCTAGCTACGGGCCTAAGTCTGCGTTTATATCATCTTTCCGCCCATACATATCACAAACAAACATTTACATATCTTGAATAGTAACGTCCGACACAACCCATTGTTGACCTAATGTCACAAAGGAGAGGAGCAATATATGTCGGTTTGATATTTGACCTGCTGCCCATTGGCTAAAAATGAAGACATGAGTGTCCACGGTGCGGATAATTATATCAGTCTGGGATGAAAAACTATTACTTACATGAAGGGCGTGAATAAACATCCCTGTGTCAGCTTCAACGTGGTCAGAATGTAGATCTGGTAGATCTTCTGATAATCAAATTCCCTCTTCAGAAATTGCCAGCTTCCTACAACTCTGATTATATGTGACATAAATTTCTGATCCTTGGAAAAGGTATGGTGGACTTGTATCCAATTCATTTTTCAACAATGAATGTTATTAGTCTTTGTTTGTTGGCTCCACAAGACAAGTATTTCTTCATTTGCATGGGCATTTTTTCTTCTGACCTCTGAGTTCGAACTTTTATCCCCCCTTGCATAGCTCCCTTTTTTTGTTCATGTTGTTTTATAGACACATTAGGGTACCTTCCACTATGAAGTCAACCCTCTTTGCATGGTATTTCAATGACATGTTCACAACATTTTCTAAAATACATTTCGGGAATATTCCGCTGTTGCTGAATTAATGCCATAGCAATCAAGATAAGAACGGCGGTAGTAGACTTGTTTTTTCTATCTCATGAATAAGAATGGATTTGGTTGTTTTGGCCATGGTTCCACCTGAATTGGCTATTGATAATGGAACTGAATTCAGTGGATAAGAAAAGGGCGTCTCTAAGATCAAGATCTTTTCCCTGAGCAACAATTAGCAGTTTTGATAACATTTGTTTATCTTCTCGTACTGTGGCAACTGTTTTTGTAACGGACAAGCCGAGAGTAGGCCTGAACTTACTGCTTCTGACGCCATCCCAGTAGAAATATGGAACAGTTCACTGTTGGATTGGACAGATTGTTCATCATTACTCATTCTTGTAGAGTTTAGCTCTTTTTGAGAAGACATCTAATTTGTGCAGGTAGTTGACACGGAGAATCACATGTTAGCAACCGCAGTCCAGGGCCTCACAGTGCCTTTGTTTAAAGTAATTCCAATTATCCCTCCTTTTGTTTTAGAGTCATGGTTTAAGGCCTGTCCAATTACTTGGTCGCATGCGGTCATGGAAAACACAAGTTTGTCTGGCGCTTCAAAGCAAAACTTAAGTTTTGGTGTGCATAAGGGTGTGAAGAATTAAACATGCATTATGCAAGAGCTAAATCAGCATATTTTAAGTCTTTATTTAGGCTTCAGATGTCATAGAAATTATAAATTAGATTTTTATTTACACACCAAGCCCAAAATCAACTCTGTAGACCCACGGATGGCTTGGATTCGGCTTGGATTTAAACAGGATTTCATTGAATGATTAAATTTTTAAATGGCGTCGTAAGCGGAGATTAACCGTTACGTACTCCCGGACATTTTCCATAAAAGGCAGTAATAAACGAGGCTAAATGATAGAGCGTACGACGCGAGGCCGCTGTTGAGCGAGGCCGCAATGTCAGTCAATTTGATTGAAAGTTCGATATACGGCCTTGATATTTATTTGTGGTTAAAATGAGAGTTTGGATGTCGGTATTATACGCTTTTTTGTCACTTGCGTTTTCAGAAAAATTATGGAAATTGATAAACATCGCAGCTAACATCACCCCAGTTGAATTGCAGTCGCATTGGATCACTGTTTCCTATTTGTCCGCTTCGGGAGTCACGTAGGCCTAACAGTTACAGTACAAGAGTACACGCAGGCTAACAAGAAGTCGGCTATAATTATGTACAATGCTGCCTCGTTGATTTGGTTCATTCCGTTTAAACTTTCGCTTCTTATCTATATATTAAATCTTGTATTTTTAATTTGTAGTAAAAATAAATGTGATACGAATTGAATTGCAACCCCGTCTCAAACCGATTAGGCTAACGGTACCACAGCCAATGAAAACGTTACTTGATAATCGAGATTATGTAGGTGGAGTTAACGCCTGTCAATCAAACGATCGACCATTCTCGGAGACGAGAAGATAGAGTTGATAACAATGGTAATAACTTTGTTCAGAATAAAGTAATTTCATCATCCTTTTTTGAACTGTTATAGCCGGATTGGCCAACTCTCTATTACAATCTACCTTAATGTATCTTTAAGACATGTCATCTCAAGAAAGTAAACTGACAGGTAACGAGAATAAATGATTTTAGTATATGCGAAAAACCATAGAATCATTTGAAGTACTGCTAATAGGTGAAGATCCCAGTTGCGCTCAGGGACAGAAAGAGGAGTTCCATTATTTCCAAATATGATGACCAGAAGCTGTACATTGCGTTTTCTCCGCTGCGTTTTTCCACATGGTTCTTGTAGTCATTGAGGAATTTCTGTAGAGTTTCGTTTTGAAGAGATCTTGAAAAGTTTTCTTCAAAGTTTTCTGTAGTCATCTGCATAAGATTAGTGATTTCGTATGTATCTTGTTTATCCATATACTCTTGCAATCTCAATCGGTGGAATGCTTCAGTTATTATCTTGTGACATCTTAAACTTCTATTAAAATTATGGCCATTCATAACACCAGTCATACAGTCATAGATCCCTCTATTCCGG